TCGACCTGGGGGAAAGACAGACATTTATGTGAGGATATCATCACATACTTCCTTGAAGAAGAAATCCCACAGGATAAGGTCGGCCTTGCCTAAGTGTTGGGATGACATAACTGATCATCTATCATGCTAAATAGCTACACATGGTAATCAATCCCTTACCGGACACGAAGGCCAAGGTTGTGTGTATCCAAGAAGACGAGCTGGCCTGGATCGGCGAAAAACAATATCAGACCGACGTCCTTGTCTACATAGATACACACTGTGATTCCAAATCAGGAGACTTGGTCGTGTCAGGGAATAATGGTACTGGTCTCAAGAGTGCCCCGATTACCGATGTAAGTAGTCAATTTCTAACATTGGGACACTGAGCTTAGTTAGCAGCTGATACTATCTACCTGTGGGAGCAAATTGGTGGATACCCTCGTCCAAATGGATGGACTTGTGTCGCGCGGCCTCAAAGTTACACGTGGACTTGTCCTCCTTAGCTGTGGCCCAAGCGTCCGCAACCATGCCAGTTTTCTGAGGCTTCACAGCCTGGTCAGCCAGTGAGCAGATTGTGGCTGTTACCTGCATCCCGGACTAACATCGCTGCGACAGATCTCTATTTGATTTCGTGCTCTCTTTTGGCGGCCAGTCAACCCTTGATCATCAGATTGTCGTCCCGCTCACGTCATTCGTACGCAATGTTTACATTCATGGTTTGGAACCATGGGAAGCCCTCGTGAAATCCTTCGCCGAGGATTATATGTCGCTCGATAATGCTCCGCCAGTACTGGTCTGGAACAATTATGAAGTTGTAAAGGGCCAGCGGGTTTTCAAGGGGACTAAATCACGATTGCTGGCCCGCTCCAACTTCACCTGGCGCCCATGGGGGATCGACTTCTGGAAGTGCTTTAAATGTAATGCAAGTATGCAGTATCTCAAGTTCACATCAAGCGGGAACCCTAGCCAAGGGAATGATTGGATTGAAACGGAACTTCAGTACAGCTGTAACCGTTGTCAAAGTTTCAAAACCTGCGGTTACCCGCTGTGGGTTAAAGCTGTGCCGGGCAAGGCGGATCTCGTCCAATTTACGTGGCCGCTGAGTGTCGAACAGCTGAAATACATAGGTTATCGAGAAACGGACTTCCAGACTAAATCCTGATTTATGACGTGCATGTAGTCGCAGGTATGAGTATCAGTGGTCTTACATTGGCCGAGTAGCTTATATCATCTTTGCACACCAATCCAGAAATCATCCGATCCAGGCACCGAGTTTCATATAAAATAAAGTTATGGGAAAGATTGACCATTTGGTATGGCTGATGTTGCCGCCAGATTTCATTTTCTTCCTGATGCCTGGTTTGAGCTTGCTCACCATCGCCTCCCCTTCCTTATCTACGCTTTCGTAACCCGATGTATCATTATGACGAAAAATAGGAGGTTAAATCGATCAAACAGTGTTTTGGTGAATGTGCTAATCCGTTGATCATCCCGTAATGTTTATCCTTTTCCCTCCAAAGCTATTGACTCGACTTCCCAAAACCACGGATCCTTCTCGTATGATTGAGTACTGGACACATACCAGTGATATTTCAAGTCCAAAACTCGAGCCACAATGTTTTGCTGATACGTACCTAGCGTCTGGCTCCTCCTTGGGCTTAGTTGCTCAACGTGAGCGCGAACTCGTCGCTATTTTGTTTGCCTTGTTACTACCAGGTAATACTGCCGCGCTTTAGGGCACGGCAACGCCCGTCACCCCTCCCTTTGTTACCAGAACATGTAGACGACCCCAAGTCGTACTTAAATTGCAGCCACATTGTGTTACCAACAGCATCACGTACTTTATAAAACTACATGAGAGTAACATGCTGCAAAGGTAATCAAAATCGATAGAGTCACTCTCTCAAAGCGGACAGCCATATCAATTGGAACGCTGAGTCTTACCAAAACATTTACGAAGCCTCTTAAGCTTGGCAAACATGGACCATGTAGTGGGATTTGTAGCAACATTGAAAACGTCGAGGGATGAATTTTGAAACACAAAAACTCAATTATAGCACAGACAGGATGACCTAAGTTGCGATAACATGAACAATATAGACATTCAAACCGTATAAAGACAAAGAAGATGACTTGAGTGAGGAGCACGCAGGCTGCGTTCAGCAGGTGCAACAAATGGAAGGAGTGGAGAAGAAAGTCCCACAGTCGGAGAAGGTTGGAATGAGAGAGTGTACACATAGGAAGGGCCGCTGAAACCCGCTACGACACTCACGATCCCTATGCGTAACGGACAAGAGCAGAGGTAGGCCAAGGTTAGGAAACGATAACGTGACACAATCGATTTTCTCAA